CCCCCCCTATCCGGCGCTCTTGTTTTCATATTTTCAGTCGGTACTTCTGCTCCTGGGGCCCTGAAGCTGGGCTCTTACTGTTGTGCCCCTCTTGCCTACCTATTTCACCCGCATCACCCCTCGTTCTTCTTGACCACACGTAACCCCCACCCCCTCCCCGCTCTCCGCCCCGATCGTTATACCGTTTTTTTCGGGTTCTCCTTTCTTGACCTTCAGCCCTCCACGGCCGAGCCTACCGCCCGGGTACAAGCCCGAGCCTGAGGCGTGGGTCAGCCGTGCGGGGGGGGTATACTTGCCTCTCAAGCCGCCTGCGTGACCACCACCACCCGAGGGCAACATGCATCGTGGTGCTAAAACGGGAACTCCTTCCGTGGCGAGGCTGCAGGCCGGGACGAGCGCTGGGAGGGGAGCAACACGCATCACGGCGCTGAAAATGGCACTTCTTTCTTGACGGTATTTGGTGTTTGATGTTACTCATAGCGAAGTTGGTAGTCTTCGTAGCGAAGTGGGTAGTCCTCGTTGACTGTCATGCGTGCATTCTGGCTGGGTGTTCCCATTGAAGCATAGGGCGAGAGGGTCCCGGCAGGGGGGTTGCTTGTCGAAGTAAACGCTGGCCGATGTTGCCGTGGTAAAGGCAGTCGTTGTTGGCGCTCGCTCGACGCGCTGATGTACATATCCCCGCTAAATAGGTACCGTCTAGCGGTGGTGTCTAAGGCAGGCAGTGGCCATGACTCGAAAGTCATGATTTGGTTGATGTCTACGGTCGGTCGGGGGCACGAGCACGCGTCCTTGCCAGGAAGCTTTTCGAGGAGACACAAAAGTATGATCGCGCGGTCCGGGAAAATAGAACGCGCTCCATGTTCTCGGGCATGGTTTGCTTGCTGCCCGTGACGTAGTCTTTGAGGTGTTTCCGTCACGTGTATCTCGGTTAATCGCCTGGTCAGTCTCGTCGTTAGAGTTGGCTCGGCCGTTCGATTCTGGTAGATGCTGTTGTTGGCACCTTTGGTTGTGTTCGACGTGGTGGCGAGACGCCATGACCTTTGATTTTATGTACGTACGCACACACCCGTTAGTCTATGTCGCCGAAACCTTGGTACTTCGAAATATCTGACTTTTATTTCGGATTAACATACCTCCGGGTACACACCTCGGGTTAACGTATCCAACGCCTCTACAAAAAAACTTGTCAATAGACAAGTCGGGGCTTAACGGCGGGAAGACGGTCTATGGCCCTCTCGTACCCATAACCGGAAGGCACTTGGCGCATGTTCCCGACGAGTGCCGTGGAACATCCCGTCAGGATTACAAGACATCTCCTAACATAAGCCAACACTTCGAACAGAGCAGCCCACGCAACCTTGGTAGAACAGCAGTGGGTGGAGGTTTTATGGTGGCTTGTGAACGTGCGCTTTGTTTGGCCGTTGAACGCGCCGAGTGTCTACGGCCACCTCGTTTTGTTTGATAACAGCCCGGGGTAGCCCCGGCCTCAACTCCAGCCCTTCTCCTTTTTTGCCAACGGGTTCACAACGTGATAAATCAACGCGACGTGTATTGTCAGCGTTGCCTGTCTGAAGCTGATACTGTCTGTTGTTTTAGCGGTTGTAATTAGCTGCTGGCTGAGTTTTCTGCGTTGACAGATCACGACCCGACGGCGGATGGAAACGAAAAAACAAACAGTAAGAGCTGCTCGGTGTGGAGCATGTAGTCCGACCACTGTGTGCAGGTTGGAGCCGCTTCGCCTCTTCCGTCTGATTCCTTGTTTACCCTTTCTCTCTCAGTCGCTCGCTATCACTCACTCCCAGGCAACACTGAGCAACGAGGGACGCTTGCACATCGCTTGCTGCTGCTACCAACCATTGTACCGCTACCTGCCTGATGTCGGCGTACCACGAATCTGGGCAGGTGGTCGGGATGCTCCTTAAAGGTACCCGCCCAGGTGGCATCTTTTTAGTCCAAGGGTCCAAATACTATTACAGTCATACTACCTTCAAACCGTGCCCTAGGCCAAGTACTCAATGGAAGTAAATCGCAAAAAACACGTTTGTTCATCCAAAGTTAAAAAACCTCACAAAGGCAAAAACATATCGAAGAACACCTGTGCTACTGCTGATGATGTCGCTTGGTCTCCAATGATGCACATTTCATATTTCATCACTCACTCGGCCCACACACATTTTCACTATAATACTACCAAACAACCTCTGATGAAATGTACGCGATACCGTGGTTGCTGCCACGCCGACCGTTGTGGGACTACAAGCGTAGCGATCCCTCAAGACCCCGACGAAGACTCACTTGTTTAGAATATTGATCTCTTGGAACAGCAGTGCTTGCTGTTGCCTTGCTCTCAAACGTAGACTGAGCACAGAGGGGGATGAGGACATGTTCCCTCTAAAAGGGGCCACAAAGGTCCTGTCCCCTGTTTTACCCTTACATCTCTCGCATCCCGGACTTTCCTCAGGGAATTACTCCGCAAAACCGTTGACACTTGCTTCGCTTCAATTCAAACCCCACACCACTAGTTCACCCTGGAGGTTCTCCTACGCAGATACTTGAAATCTCGGAACTTGACAATTAACTGTCGAGTCCCAAACATGAAAGGATCGAGGATGTGGAGCTCCAAAATACCAAACTCACCCTCCCACACCTCTCACACGATGAGTCGCAAGACCATCGTTCGGCCCAACCAAGAAAAAATAGAGAAAGGAAAAAAGTATGGGGGCTACGAACACAGGGGAGCAATAGACTCAGCAAAAGAAAAAAGTCAACGCAACAAACACCACAACAGGTCGGAACCCACAGAAAGAAATACACCGCATGAAGAACACCGTCGGTAAACCCGTCGGTACGACGAGAACCAACCGTATCGGCAAAACTATAAGAAAATACCGAGCAATCAGCACCGTCGAAATGACCACAAGTGACAAAAGGAACTTACGGCTAGCACGTATCAACGAACGACAACCTTATAGATGCGAAAGCACCACGATACATTAAAAAAGGAAAGAAATCAAGCGTTTCGACAACGAAAACAAGGGGTCGTGACCCAAATAAGAGCCGACGATATCAAATTGCAGCAGGGAGCCGAAGAAAGCTCAACCACGCGAGAGCAGAAACACAGAAGGAGTCGAAGGGCAAAACGACGTATCAGACGGAAACAAACTGGTCGTCAGAATGACGGGGAAAAGGGGGGTCGAAATACCAAAACGAAGCCTAACACTGCTCTATCTAGAAGGCAACAACAGCCCACACGTGCGTGCAAACGAAAAAAACGGACGAGATCAGGGGCGATATCAACCCGAAATCGGCCAGCGTCGACCGCAAGGCCAGTCCACATTTCAACCGGAACAACACACACAAACCAAACAGACAGAAACCATGAACACACACGGGCCAATCGACGCGTGCCGAATCATCGGGCGGCGAATGCTCCACCTCCACGTTTCGTGACACATCAACATTACGAAGAAGTCATCTCATGAGAGCGCTACCGCCGTGAACTTGAAGACACCATGAACCGCAGGCGGCAGACCGGAGGGTAGAGTAATGAACAACGGAGACGGCGATCTTGATCGGTCCGGGGTCGTCGAGGAAGCGGACGACGTAGTGGTCGGCCCGCACAGTCGGTCCAGAAATCTTGCCTAGCTACCAAAGTCCATCTGAGCCTTGTACCAGAAGAACGCGCCCACAGGTAGAGGAGTATCGGCGAAACGACGATCGCGACCCTCTCTTCACCGGCCTTGCGGGAGGCCACCAAGGATTCTGAGCGCCGTCGTCGGGCCGAGCGCCCCACGGCGCCCGTACTCATTGCCACTTCGGCGATCGCTGCTGCCGCCCACGCTGCTGCTGTTCCTGCTGCTGCGGCTGCGTCTTCATCTGCTGCCGCTCCTGCCGCTCCTGCTGCGGCTGCGTCTTCATCTGCTGCTGCTGCTGCAGCAACTCCTGTAGCGTGCCCGCAGCTCTTCGAACACCTCGGCGCCCGCTGGCATGCCCTCCCTCGGGAGGCACAAGCGTTGGTGTCTTCCTCTGAGGCTGAGGCGGCCACCTGCGCCGCGGTGTACCGCGTCCGGGCTGATCGTATGGGGCCGGGGTCACC